ATTTACAGAAAAGGACTATTGACTGTTGTTGTTGATTTTAGACTTGTTTTGCCCAGCTGTTACTTTGATAGAAAATGGAAAAACAATCATCTATGTGATGCTGTCTGATTCAGTTTGGTTTACTTTGCTCCTTGGTCACTCCTTTTTTTTATGTTTCATTTGTTCATTTTCCCCATGAGTGCTTTTCTTCTCTGTCAGTTACATCTCACTTTCTCTGCCTTTCACTGTGTCCATTATGTTGCTTATTGACAGTATAGTATATACTTGAGACAATGGCATGTGTGAGGCAGCCTGTGCCTGTGATTTGTACAGTTTGATTATCCGTTGCTCTGGTGTTGTTTGCTTATGAGCCAGCCCCATCCTGTAAAGTTTGCAATGTAAACGCACCAGTACACAACTTGTGCTCTTCACACTTGCCATGAGGAAACCCGGGGCTTTAAATTAAATCCTTTGGAAGTGAAAGAACAGAAGGTTTTTTTCTGTACTCTGGTGAAGAGTCCATCATTTCCTGCTCTCTCTTTGTTTGCCTGCTTCACAAAAATGGCACCCACTTCTCAGAGCACTGTATTGTATTCGAAGCTCTGAGATTGCACAGGCTCCTTTTTGTTTGTGTGTGTTCATCTAAAGATTTGACCTGATTTCAAAGCCAAGCATTCAGTATCAACACGTGCCACTCTGTGCTTCCTCCTCTGTCCCCCTCCTCACCCCCTGTCTTGCACACAGCTCACATCTCCTGCCCCTTAAGCTGCTGGACTGTGGAAACCGTTTACACTATTGTCTGGAGTTGATTTAAAATGTTTGAGTTAGTTTGGGTTTTTAAGTCACCAACATTGATTTGTGGTCATTGATGTGGGCTGTGAACCAAACAACATAGTACTGTCGTGTCACTTCCCATGTCTGAACACTGTTTGTGAAAGCTGTGCTCTATTCAGTTAAACAGCTTATGTTATTTACTAGTTGAAATATTCTTATTATTGAAAGCTAATTCTCACAGCAGTTTTAATATCTGACAAAAAGCTGATTTTCCACACTATACCCTATAAAAATGAATCAACAAATAACTCGGAAAATTAGACTTTCTACTTGTACAGTTGCATCTGCAGTGTGGCAGGTTTCTCATGATAACAGGCAAAGTTTTGTTAAATAGGAGACAAGAGTTACAGTCAGAGTTGGTCTCTGGGAGTTGTCTGTCACTATTAATTAAAGCTTGATTGCCAGAAGTCATGTAACATTCTGTTGACATTTTTCACTCAGATGATTAAACAATACAGCTGCTGCATCCCTTCCTTCTTATTTTATCCCGACAGCTCCTCTGAACTCAGACCAGCAGATAAAGTGTTGATGGAGGCTACACTGTCATTTACAGTTGATGGCTGGCGTCTGCTCGTCCTCGGGTATTCATCCTGTCCTTTGCACCTGACAGGACATGTCTCTCTCTTACTGACTCTCTGTTTTCACTCAGTCTCTCACTGCTTTTATTCCCTCTATGCCATCCTTTGAGTGCTTCTCTGTTCTTCCCACTCTTTCTCACCTACACCCTGCAGATCTGTCTCTCTGCCCTGTGTGCACACTTTTATCCTCCCATCCCTCTGGCTCCCTGTGTTTGTTCTTGGCTGCTTGCTTTATAAATAGCTTGGCCTAGATTACAGCAGCTGCATTGGTGCTGGCACCTCAGCTTGGTTTGGATGGGTCAAGTGAGGTGGCCTGGTGTAACAGGAGGTTGGCAGTGAAGGGATGTTGTGCATGCATGTTTTTGCATCTGTGTGTGTGTTCGAGGACAGGCTTGTGAAGACCTTGAAAACAGTGCAGCTGCACACCTGCAGTGGCTGAGCTGAGGAGTTTGTTTATACACCGTTGTTCCTTTCATTCTTCTGCTGTCACGGCACACACAGAGGCACACATGCACACAAAGCTCATGTGAGTGTGAGAACTATTGACATCGGGGGTTTTTTTTGTTTGTTTGTTTCTATTTTGGGTGAATTCTTGTAGCTCTCTGCAAGAAAGCAAACAACTGTATTTCCCAAGATGTGTAACTAATTGTGAAATTTGCATATGCAGTACATACACAGTATACTGCGCTACACATTGTGAGTTTATGTCTAATTAGATTTCCACCATTTAAAGAAAGGTTGCTCCTCCCATTTAAAATTATTGCTAGTGATACAAATTAAGTTTTATGAGGTGAGAGCATTCGGCAGGCCATAATCATCTGCTTTTAGTGAGAATTGGGTCACTCTTCTCAGTTACAGATTCTTACTGTGAATTAATAAACTGTGTGTCGCTACATGGAGTCTTGTTCAGGGCGTGCTGACTGTGAGATCTAACAGAGGGAATTGTGAATGAGAAGAAGAGAGTGAGAATGAGGAGAGGAGAGCTGCGGAATGAGGCCAGAGAGGAAGAAATGTGTTTCATCATCCACAGAAATCCGTGCTACTTATCAGCAGTGACAAGAGGGATCAGTGGAGCACAATGACACAGTGCTTTGATAACCAAAAGCATTCAGGTACACAGTACACTCAGTTGCCCTGTATCCAGCAGTGGCTCCCAAGGTTGTGTGTTGTGCTGAGCAGTGAGTGTGAGGATCCCTTCGCCATGTTCGCTTGAGTTGATTTTAAAGTGAATGCTATTGGTTAAAAGTGGATGAACTGGCCATTTTGGTTGAATTTTCATTTTTACTACAAGGTTTTGGTGTGGCAGAAATGAAAAGTTTTAACTGCTTATTTATTTTATATTAGCTAATTATTTTAACCATTTATCTATAGCTGTTTCAACTATTTATTATATACTCTGTTTCAGCCATTCATCTATTCGCTATTTCAGCCATTCATCCTTTGTTTTGGGCTATTTATCCATTTACTTTAGACTTTAGGTAGAAATGTGCAGTCATCCTCATCCCCCAGGTTATCGTGACAGCAAAGTTTAACTGGAAATTCAGACTGTATAGTCAAGTAAATAATAAACTAGGATCTGTGGCAGCAGTGGCTGAACTCCACAATCTTTTTATACAGGCTGACCCATGATAACTGCAGAAGTACTCCCTGGGGTAGGCTACAAGAACTTTTGGTTGGGATTTGCTGCAGCAGTGACACTTGAATGTGTTAGATTAGCTCATGTCCAGATAAATATGAGGTAACGTACAGACAGGATGGCTTTGAGGACCCTGATCATCAGCCAAGTATATGTAAAGCAAAAATTTTCCTTGAGAAAGACAGTGAATCTTTACCTCTCTCTGTTAACCCAAGACTTTGTAACTAGAAGAAGGTAAATAACAGTAAAACAGAGTCACACCCAGCTGATAAAAGCATGATGAAGCAAACAGTTTACTGTGTCTGATGTGTGTAATTTTTGCCATTTAGCCTCTTATTGTTCCAGACTGGGTGACTGCCTGGTGTTGGCTGGTGTAGGAATCACACTCATCCTCATATCTTTCTCATCTTCTCCGTCTGCACGGCGTGGACAATGCCTGACACACACAGACATAAATAGCCCTTGCAGCCTAGAGTCTTAATATTATGGTTCATAGGGGACTTAGCTGTCTAAGTCGGCCTGGCAGTTATTATTATGAAATGGAGTGTGGGAGAAAGAGATGATCGTGATGGAAAAAACACATAGTTTGTTAGGATATTATGCAATGGTTTAATGTCTGTTGGAATTTTTCAAATGACTGGTCTTCAGCTGGAGTGGAAACTTGTACTGTATCATCACAATTAGGAGAAAAGAAGCTATGACAGCAGTGTCTCAGGCAGCTTCATCAGCTGCTTTATTGTGAGTGATAAAGAGCCACACTACAGTTCATTTCCAATCAACAAGTCAGCACTAAAAGTATAGTACAGCTCACTAACATGTTCATTTAAAGTTTTAATATATGAGTCTTTCCAGAATGCACTGAAGATCCTAATGCCCAAATTAAGAGTCCATTAATTTTCTGTATCTGTTAACAGCATGTTAACAGGAAACAGCTTTGACACCAAGCACATCAGCTTGGCCGTCCAGCATGCATCTGACACACATGCCTATGCAATTGTGACTTCATGGGAATAAAAAAAAAAAAAGCGCAGTAGATACCTGGACCATATTTTTCATGCGCAGTGCTGTGGATCTCTGTCAGTAACCCAGTAATTTCAGTTCATGATCTACACAGAGGATGGACACATTAACAGGAACACCTGTGGAATTTAATGCAGGGGTTCCTAACCTTCTGTGCATGTTAACACAAAGTTGTTACCCACATCACAAGGTGCATGTTTTGAGCTGTTAGTAGCTGTATCAAAACGTAATTTCACCTTGTTAGAATGTTTAATTTGACTTTTTTGATACCAAAAGAGATAAAAATCTAGTTTTGCTTAAATTATTATTAGTATTACGGGCATATTTGTCTTTATTGGATTGCCAAGTAGAGTGATAATAGGAAATGTGAGGAGAGAAATATTAAATGACATAACAAAGGTCCCTGGACACACACAAACTGTTGCAACTCATAATCAGCATCCTAACCCCTAGAAATAAGTATTGTAGGCTACATAAGATGTTCATGTTATTTTGTCCACCTGTCACGTCAAACTATGCCCTCAAAATTGTCTCCACACCTCTCTGGCACAGTCCCAAGAATGTACAGTTATTGCAGGGGCTTTTACAAGGATTATCATTATTACAGATGCTTCTGTTATTATGTCTGCCCCTGTAACGTTATGCTCATTGTATACAATAGTTAAAGGCAGCACAGGTAAACAGTTAGAATAGATTTTACCAGGAAGCGGCTATGACACATTTTTCTCCAGCAGGTCACTGAATATGAACACGAAATATACTCATTTATATATTTATTTGAAAAGCGGAACAAACCGGACCGTGGTTTCTGCAGTGTCCCCTGCCGGGTTCGTCAAGCGCTGTAGTGGCGTAAAACACGAACGAACGTGAGTATGGCGATGACGTCAATGTGGAGCCAGGAGGAGGGCAGGAGAGAGAGGGAGGGACGGAGGGAGGGAGGGAGAGAGAGGGTTTGTGCGGTTGCCGCAGCACCACTTGTGCGTGCCAGTGCAGCGAGGAGTCCAGCAGTAACTCTCATCTGAAAAAAACCTGAGCAGTCGGCTGAATAACCTCAAGTTTCTGGAGGAAGCACTGGTAGATTATTTCTCTGCGACCTGCCAGAGAGGAAGTAAAAAGACTCACTTTATTTGGTTGCCCCCTCACAAACTACGAAAGGGAATGCCATCGATAAATATGAAACTGGAGATGGTGACCATCATCGCCTGTGAAGTAGACATCGAGGTGTTTACATCAGACAAAATGCAGGTACGGTTTTTACTGCACGTTGCAGCTAATCACAATTTTGCCCTTGTGATGTGGTTGTGAAGCAGTTTGGTCCGGACCAACCGATTGCACGCTGACCTGTACAAGCGCATGCATGTCTTGGTGACGCTGAATGCAGCCCTCTCTCTCAGATGAGGATTTTTATCAATGGGAGCCGCAGCTCGCCGAGGCGCACCTCCCGCGCCGCGCGCACGCTGTGGTTGGCGCTGGATGAATTGCAGAAATGGATAGAAATGGCCAGAACGGGACCCTTAATGCACCTATTGTTGTATCATTGTGTACGCGTTATAGCGCAGGGTCTTGAAGATGATGCGCAAGTTTAACGGGAGGGTGTGATGAATTAAATTGTCCATGCAAGGCACATGCATGGAAAAAAAACGAGGCAGTTAGACGCAGTGGCGGACAGACCCTCTTTTCTCCATCAGTATCTCTGCTCTCTCGTCATCCCAGAAGCATTGCAGGTGCCTTAGGTGAGAAGGGATATTGAAAGAGAGCCCCCAAAGAAACATTTCAGAGATATTATAACATCATATTGATGCTAAAATACTGTAGTATAAACAGACTGACCATAATCACCTGTAGGGTTGGTAATGATGCCACAGGGAGTCAAAATACAGTAAGCGGTGAGTTTTTCCATTTTTAATATTAGATAAAAATCGACGTAACTTGGAATGCATTTATGTCACTATAAACGCGGTGACTGACTAACCTAAACACTCTTCTTCAGTAATTTGACCTAAGGGCATGTACAGGTGTTTCATATGCTGCTTGTCAGTCACAATGAAGGGAAGCAGTTGCACTTAAATGTGTTCAAAGTGAGCCTCAGGACCCCACCTTTGGCACTGCAGTGTGCCAGTCGAGGGGCTTAAAAGGCCACACTGATGGTCTGCCAAAGCTTGGCTCACGGTCTAAACCCTTTGGAAATTCCATGTCAGAATATATTCCCTCACCTGCTGACTGCCTGTCTGATCAGACTCATCATCAAAGAGAGGGAAACAGAGGAAGAGGGAA